CACATCAACACCATCATCCCGGAAACCCTAGACCCACTCCAATTCGCATACTGCCCCAACAGAACCACAGATGACGCAATCTCAATCGCACTCCACATTGCCCTTTCCCACCTGGACAAAAGGAACACCTATGTGAGAATGCTGTTCATTGACTACAGCTCAGTGTTCAACACCATAGTGCCCACAAAGCTCATCACTAAGCTAATGACCCTGGGACTAAACACCTCCCTCTGCAACTGGATCCTGGACTTCCTGATGGGCCGCTCCCAGGTGGTAAGGGTAGGTAACAACACATCTGCCACGCTGATCCTCAACACTGGGGCACCTCAGGGGTGCGTGCTTAGTGCCCTCCTGTACTCCCTGTTCACCCACGACTGCGTGGCCAAGCACGACTCCAACACCATCATTAAGTTTGCTGACGACACAACAGTGGTAGGCCTGATCACCGACAACGATGACACAGCCTATAGGGAGGAGGTCAGAACCCTGGCAGTGTGGTGCCAGGACAACAACCTCTCCCTCAATGTGAGCAAGACAAAGGAGCTGATCGTGGACTACAGGAAAATGAGAGCCGAATAGGGCTGTAGTGGAGCGGGTCGAGAGTTTCAAGTTCCTTGGTGTCCACATCACCAACAAACAAAAGGTTCTACAGTTGCACCATCGAGAGCATCCTGATCGGTTGCATTACCGCCTGGTATGGCAACTGCTCGGCATCCAACCGTAAGTCGCTACAGAGGGTAATGCGTAAGGCCCAGTACATCACTGGGGCCAAGCTTCCTGCCATCCAGGACCTATATACTAGGTGGTGTCAGAGGTAGGCCCAAAAAATTATCAGACTCCAGTCACCCAAGTCATAGACTGTTCTCTCTGCTACCGCACGGCGAGCAGTACCGGAGCGCCAAGTCTAGGTCCAAAAGGATCCTTAACAGCTCCTACCCCCAAGCCATAAGACTGCTGAACAATTAATCAAATGGCCATCTGGACTATTTACATTGACCCCCCCCCCCCTAACCTGTACCCCCACACACTGACTTGGTACCGGTATCCCCCTGTATATAGCCTCGTTATTGTTATTTTATTGTGTTATTTTTTTCTTTCGTTTATGTAGTAAATATTTTCTTAACTCTATTTCTTGAACTGCATTGTTTAAGGGCTTGTAAGTAAGCATTTCATGGTAAGGCCTACACCTGTTGTATTCGGCGCATGTGACAAATAAAACTTGATTTGATTTGATTTGAACAAGCACTTCCTGATTGAATTCTGTCTGGAGATGAAATGATGACATTGATGTAGGCTATAGGCCTCCCAATATATGGCATATTGTCTAATTTACAAAAATAGGTCTATACAGTATGTCAGGCCTAAGAATGTTAGCTAAAGGAATATATACATCTAATGTTTCTTTATTTACTGCAGTGGGCTAAATCAGGGTTTCTTAGTAGTTTTAAACAAATCTAGTTTGGAAAAAAAAGTATACACCTCACACACCTGCACCATGTCAGATATAGAGTTGAAATATATTACATTTTGAGTTTGCATCCCAATATTACACTTTATATACATCACAGAAGACTGAACTATAACAACATCTTTGACATTGAAACACTGGATTTTCGGTGGCTTAAAAAAACCCAATGTATATTAATTATTAAATTATTACAAATATAATATTAATAACATTCTGTCCATGAGGCCACTAGGTCATTTGACTGCAGGAAAGGCCTACAAAGTTATTGATTATGATTCACTTTCTATTTTGTATAACTGGGTAGCTTGTATTGTTTTGTACTGTTTTTGTTGTTGTTCATTCTCTCGTTTTATAAGTTTCCTCCCACTGGGCACAGATATCAGTTCAACATCTAGTTTTGATTTACTTTTGGTTGAGTTCTCAACTAACGTGAATTCAACGTGAAATCAACAAAATAAATTCACCATGTCATTGGATTTAGGTTAAAAGTTGGGTGAAAAAAAGACTAAAAGCCCTGATGTTGATTACTTTTTGCAAATCAAATTAATTTTCCACATTGATTCAAAGTCATCACAACAATGTTGATTCAACCCATTTTTGCCCATGGGCTATTTCTATGTTAGCAAATTGCAAATGACAAATGTTTGACAAAATGAATTAGTCTTGTCCTCAATTGAAGGGATATCAGTAGCATACACATACATCTGAGTCACCTTTCCTGCTCTTGCGCTAACTAGCTGTGATTCTGACAGCGGTGGTGTAGGTGCCCAACCTGAGCTTTATACACAGTGGCCAAAGCCACATACCAACCATTAGGTTAACGCTTAATGCGCTCAGGCAATGTTTGAGGTCTAAACAAATGACTCCTTACTGCCTTGGTAAAAACAAAACAAATGTTTATAGGAGCTTTTGACAGATGAAACATTTACATTTTAGTCATTTAGTAGTCGCAGCATCATGTAGCCTGGGTCGTGGAGGAATCGAGTTTATTTTTCTCATGCATTTTTCCATGTACAAATTATATTTTATTGCTTTCACCATGACAAGAAAATGTTTTATCTACTCCTGGATATAATTTAAAATTAGAATTTAAAATGATAACGGTTAACTAAATATTTTAAGCATCTAATTCTTTATTCTTACCGAAATTATTTGCTAAATAAATGACTAAGCAATCAACTCTAAAACCTTAAAAAATATGTTTTGATTAATGAATAATGGAGGAACAGAAACCTTGCAGTCTGAAGGAACTTGAAGACCTTTGTGACACTACTTATTTTGTGGTCTCCTCTCAGATTTCCAGTAAAATAGCCAACGGCAAGAAAGCACTTTATAGACCTATTATATGGATTGGAGAATAAACCTGGCCGCTGTATAGGTGCTTTTTCACATAGTCTTAAGAGACTTCAAATCAATTTGTGCTCAGCCAAGTTTTTCGATTAATATTACACCCCGCAATGAATAGACAAGTGAAATGTTTTAAATGAAAACTCACTGAAGGTTAACCACGAGTACAATCACTACACACAGTGGATATATAATAATAATAATAATAATAATAATAATAATAATGGATAAAAATATTCAGTTCAATGAATTGCCTAAAATAAACAATATCACAGGTCCCCCTCCAAGACAGATGCATTTCAAGGGGTTGTGTTCTGTCTATCAAATTATATTTGTTATTTGGACCAACTATTTACTACAACGAATGCAGATCATCTGAATTCGAATGAAAAATAAGTTCTGAATATTTTCATTGGCAGTCCTTCTAAGAATTCAGAATGTCCTACATGGTTACTCAAAACTTTTGAAGAAGCCAAAGATATCTGAGTAGTTAATTAAAGTGATTACTCAAACCGATAGTCACTATGACCATGTAGGTCGGGGTTCCAGATTTGAGTTGTATCATTTTGAACATTTTGAGTAACGCCCCCACTAAGCCACGCCTCCAATATAATTTCCCAGTGTGCCTTTTCAAGTGAATGAATTGTAGTTACCACCAATGACTGTATTTGTTAGTGACTTCGTTCATTTTCTGTCCTGTGGCCTTCACCAAGTGAGTTCCTAGGCGAATATTATCATTATAATTAAACTCTTTATGACAATACATCACATATCTCATAAGGCCATATTTTGAGGCCTAGCTTTACCCTAATGCAGTGGCCTGGAATTCATGGTTCACAGGCCACATAAAGCCTGCAAGTAAGGTTGCTAAATTCCAATATCTTTCCCAAAATTCCCAGATAAAAAAAAAAAACGGATTTCCAGGAATCTTCCAACAAGGATTTCTGGAAAACCTGGGAAATCTACCTGCGTTTTGTAGCCCTACCTGCAAATCACATTATGCTGGCTTGCAAAGTGAAGTGTAATTCCTATTGGAATCCAACCTGAGTTAGGATAGCCAACAGTTGAATTTTATTCACCCTCAATCTGCATTCATAATGACTGCCAGGTTTGGGAACAGTGGGAGGAGACTACCTAAACTAAGCCATTTAAACTGGAACAACCATTTCAGTAAAGGGTGCACAAATTCTAACTAAATGATTGGATTAGTTTAGGAAAAGTTATGTTATTTATCTTTGTGTAGCATAAGATTAATCAATCAATCACTCAATGTACATGCAAAAACACAGCTATTAAAAACAATTCCAATAAATCAACCTGCAGTAGGGCATGCTGGGAAAAAAAGTTAATTTGTTATCATAACTTAAACAAATAAAGTGAATGTGCCATTTTACTTAGTTTTGAGTCAGTACCACAAACATTTTAAGTAATAATGACTTAATTTGAGTTTGAGTTCAATTTACTAGAACTATTCCAGTTTAAAAAAAAAAAAAAAATGTATTGGGGTTTACAGTGATATGTATTTGAGTAATCTGTGGCTTTTGCTGCTTGAAACACCTTGCAGTAGGCTACAAAACAAAAGAAACATAAACAAAACTCTCAAAATCCATTGGATTACAGTTTTCATATTTTATTAAAATGATAATCTGATCAATAAATAAGGTTTGACAGTATAGTAAACGACATCTGGATATACAGTCTGGTTGATATAAAATACAACTGTGCAATTTGAATTGGAAGAAGGAAAAGAAAAAAAAAGAAAAAAAATCTGGTTTATAAAATAAATGCACAACCCTTTTGTTTATTAAATCACATTGCCTTTTTGTAGTGACTGTTGTGCCAGCATCCATGGCGTCCAACTGAAAACAAAGTGACATTCTTTAGACAAGGGCTGTTTTCCCAACTGTCCGTTGGAAATTGTTCATCTGTTGTTTTTGTTTTTGCCCTTTCTTGGTGGATATATTGCCTATCCGGTTATTTTGTACAAATATTTTGGGTTCAGATAGTGTCCCTCCCTGGTTCAAACCGGTTTTGTCTTAACCTATACTGCACAAAAGCCTCTACAATACTCCACCAGTATATCACAGTCTGAAATGTTTGAGGAATGGATATAACTAGCTTATTTCTGGTTTCCCCCAAAAAAGTGGTTTGTTGAATAGTGTTTGGTTTCCATTATTTGATTTTAGTTTGAGGCTTTTAGTCCATGCTGTGTTTCTTTGTGCCTTCTTAAATCGACTTTTCTCTGGAATCCCTTGCCGCAGAGGTCGCATCCGAACGGTTTGAAGCCCGTGTGTTTCCGGCTGTGAGTTATGAGGTTGGAGCTCTGGCTGAACGCTTTCCCACACACCTGGCATTTGTGCGGCTTCTCACCTGCATAACAAAATGTATACATTAACCATCATATTACCTTTAATAGCCAAACCATATAGGCAAGCAAGCTGTTTTTATTTTATTGTATCAGGTCTTCAGGAAAAATGCAGGTCAATTACGCATGACCGCTCACCATTAGCCGCATTGGGTGGCTGTTGCATCGAGCTATGTCTACTAATACACTACCATTTCTGACGTATACTTGCCTGTGTGGATGAATGTGTGTTTCTTCATGTCTGATTTCTGGTGGAACCTCTTCCCGCAATACTGGCATGGGTAAGGCCGTGTATCAGAGTGGATGAGGAGATGCGTGGAGAGAGTCGACGACCTTTTGAAGCTTTTACCGCAGATTTTGCAATCAAAACTTCTTTCCTGTGGAAGTATATTGGCAAATATTAGTCTAAATCTGACATATATCCTATATTGCTTGTTGCCGTTGAATAATCAGTGACAAAAGAGACGAGAATGATCTAGATTCTAGAATGGTCACCTGAGAGTGCACAACTTTATGTTGCTCGAGGCTGACAGCATGTCCGAAGGTTTTGCCACAGATATCACAAGCATAGGGCCTCGTGCCACTGTGTGATCTGCGAACGTGAACCTCCAACCCATGGGGAGTCGAAAACACCTGCAGAGTTGTTTGAAATTCGTGAGGGTGATGGTGAGGTTTATAAAGTGATCATTATGGAGGAAAAAGTGTGTCCACACCCACAAATCTTCAAGCAAGTCATTGCAAGCATAAGATGTTTCAATCCTCTACATTTACATACATTATCTTACCTTGCTGCATTTGATGCACTTGTAGGCACCATTCAGAATGAGCCGTGAGCAGAGAAGGTCAGACTCAGCCTTGATTTCTGGGCTTTTCCCGTGCAGATTCCCTTCCGAGTACAACCCAACCCCGGGGACGGTGGCTCTCTCGAACAAACAGGCAGCGGCCCTGTAATCACTGTAATTTTCAGGTACAGGGCTTCTGTCGAAGAGGGTTGGTTCGATAGCCCGGTCACCATAGTAACCCAGAGCCTGGCTCTGGTCCAGGTCCATGGGATGGTGGTGCTGGTGGTGGAGACTTTGCTGGACCAGGTGCCGAATGTCAGAACCAGAGTAACTGTTCCACGCATAGGGCCGGAAGGGAACGGCAAAGGGTTGTGTCTCGTCCACCGAGGGAGACAGGGATTTATCAGAATCTACTGTTGAGTTGCAAATAAATAGAATTGATTAGCACACTGTTCTTAACTCAAGATGGAGAAAGGCAAACAGGATGTTCCGTCATCAAAATTGTGAAATTGTAATCACAAACGTTCAGTTCAAAGTATAATCATGTTGATTTTCGATTTGATATGTCTGATGATGATTGTTTAATTTAGCCTATGTAATATGAGGCTATCACAAAACATCAAAATATGAAGAGGATCATTGCCGCTGCTACCATCTCCCATTTTTCAGGTATCTAAGGCCTACATTTGAATGCACCGCAGACTAGATCTCTACCTGGTGATGCTGAGGGCGATGGAGGCCGCCAGAAGTCTTCATAATCCGAGACTGGACCGCACACACTGTCCCCACAGCTGAGCAGAGATTTGGAGAAATCTGCCGTGTACGCCAGGTGAGAGTCCGGGGAGAACCCGCCGATGGCATCGCCGCATGTCAAGGCATCCGAGTCCTCTGGGATCTTACTATTCTCTGTTTTAATTACAACGAGGACAACGTAGGTAGCCTATTAAAGTAGCCTTTGCCTACCAGTATAACGACAAAAATACAACTTTGATAATGATAGCCTAATACTGTAATAATTATTTTAAGAAGAAGACAAAATATTAATAACTTTAATAATAGCCTATATATGTCAGCACAATTAAATGTTATTAAGAATAACGATACGATTTGCAAATTAATTCCATTGAGGTCAATGTAACTATCGAAATAGGTAAACATTTCAGATTTGGATACAGGATAAGCCAATATGGGTTATATATATATATCTTTGAATTAACAGCTAGACTTTAAATTATAAATCATAGTCTTATATTTCTAAGATATTGCAGGTTATTTTGAATGAAGCCATGCCTCACAATATAGCCTAACAATCAGTAAAACTAGACAAATAAAAGTGGATATTTATACCAATATAATTAGGCTACAGAAAAAAGAATGAGGTTGTGCCATTTGTATGAAATAATTGACATTTACAAATGATGTGCACCTCACACAACATCCAGACATTAAAATGGAGATAACATCCACATACCTGCACATATATGAGCTAAGATAGTATCCAGTCGATTGTCGTCATCTTCTAAGGAGCGGGGCTGGTGGTAGCTGTGCGCCTTCTTACTCTTCACTAAGAAGGACCGAGGCATTTTCACTCTCCTTGTTCGACCTTTGCTAATATCCAAAATCACTGGCCGTCTAGATCCAGCAGCAATCTCCTCCTCTGTTCCTGGGATGCGGTGCTGCTGTTTTATCCCTGAAAAGATTAGAAGACTATTGGTTGACAACGAGTGGTCACATTTAAGAGAGTTCTAGCTGAGGATGGAGCATGCGCACACGCCCTCTCCCGTCTGCCAGGTGTTGTGTGGACCTTGTAGGGACAGGTGCCCAGGCTAGAGGAAACTCCTCCTCAGTTCGCTGCCGCCCCGGGGCCTATGATTGGTCCGCCTCCAGAACAAACGGCTCTCCAGGCAGCTCCATCTCACGGATCAGCCTGTCTCTCTACAGGGGGAATTACAACCCATGTCAATCAGGATAAGTGATACACTGCTTTATCAATGTGTTACTTAATCCCTCCCTATCCCTAGCTGCAGTACAGGACAGGGGAGAGAGGAAACGCCGAGATGCAGCACCAGGGTGCCAGTCAGTCAGGGTTGCTATGGACCGTGCCACGCGTTTATCATCATGAAACGTGTTATAAGTGCTTGATAATGGTACAGTATCCATATATTTCCGTAATGGATTGCACATGAATGAGAATGCGAATTAGAAAATAGGAGGCGAAGTATGGACCTGGATGTGCCCAAATAGTCACATCACAGAATAGCCCATCACTGGCTTATAATATAGTCTATAGCGTTTTGTAGAATGAAGAAATGCTGTAAAAAGACTCATGCATGATAATACTGCATCAGTCTTGAATTGTTTTGCATCCTTCACAAATGTATTTTCATCAATCAATTTTGTCGTTGTCTCCATACATAAAGGCTATATTTGATAACAGCAGACAATCGTTGTCCACACGTCTGTCTGCGGTGCCACGGGAGTTTCGTATTTCCTGCATTATTATAATATGCTCAGTGAGTAAACAGATACGTCTGTTCCCTGTCTGCATAGTGGGACCGCTGATTACCTGTTCTAGCCCAATTACGCACAGAACAACAGGGCATGCAGCGAGCGCATTCAGCTCGAGCTCGCATGCCAGACAACCAGTGGGACGGAGACTATCTCTGCGTCACAGAACGTTTCAACCAGCCGCTGGCCCGTGCCATTCAGAATCATTGAAATGGTTGTATTGAGGCAGTGAGAGACATCATTTCAATGTCCATACATGATAGGCCTATTCACTTGATACACATTTCACATTCGACAGGTGAAATTATTAACAAACAAAACATATGTATAGGCCTGTATTGTCTTTGAAATTATGTAGAAAATACGACAAAGTAATTAAATTAGTAAGAACAAATTAAAAAACTAAATAGCAATGTTGGTACGATTTGCTGGGCCTATAGCATATACTATTTAGGCTACATTTAGACTAAATAATTGATTAGGCCTATTCGTTTATGAACTTTGAAGTGAGACAATAAAGTGGTGACCGCAATAGATTTAAAACATTTAATAATCAACCATTTTTGTTTCAGACCAGGCTCATATGACATATCATGTTTTCAGTTAATTCTCTGTCAGTTAATGCAGAAGTATTCTATCAGGCGCAGGAAGGCAGGCAGGTCCTCCAGACCATGCTACTGTAGAAAAACCACCAGTGACTTGCAGGAAATTAAAGCGCCATATGCCCTCTGTCGATTAGAAACATCACTGCTGCATCCGGACCTTGCATTGGGTTGGAGAAGATAAGACAGGCTACCGATAAAACACAAGACACACTGACGAGAGGTAACCATTGCCCAAATTGTGGTGCAATGATGTGACTGACTTTCTCTTTCACATAGCAGCCTACAAAATCTAAGTACATGAACCTATTTCAATGGAAAAACGTTTAATGCAATTAAATACAGACCTCAAAATTAACATAATAGCACAAATAAATCAAAGAGTTGAGGTTATTAAATCTGATTGGCTACCAAAACATCTTATGAATGCCTTTGGCACCACCAATGCATAGCCTGTCAGTTATTGTTGTTAGTTTATTTCATATTAATAAACATACATTATGAGGCTGTTTATCATAATTCAGCAGCAGGCCTATACATTCAAACTAAATAACCAGTCATCTAATTTATTTGTTTTACCTCTATGCACAGCTTATGAAACAGGTCCTTGGTGTATTTTTCCTGATGTTTTGTATTTATGGGTTATCAGCTGTTTTATTTGCATAAGGTTTTCTGTAGTAGGTTACAATGTATTTTATGGAGTAGGGTACAAACAAATATAATTCCTGAAATATTTCTAATTACTAGGCTAACTTCTTTGTTTTTTCAAATATGAATGGTTTTCAAAACAAGTGTTTGCCTATTGAAATGTTCAATAGAATCCCAATATTGAAGGATTTAATCAATGACACTAGCTAGGTTTCCATCCAATTGACGACAGATTTTCAAAAATCCACATAAAAACAATATTAGCATTTTCCCACCATACTCAAAAAATTAGGGGTTCAACAAGTGTTCTTCTAAGCTCCTCAAAGTTTTTCGAAGAACCTCAGGCAGATATGTGTTTCCATCAAATGTAGGCTACTTGTTGCTGATGAAAGGCTGTGAGTGATGATGTAGTGCACTTAAAAATACATTTAGCTGTTAAATTCCCAAGTTAAATGGGTTTCCATCACATTTTCAACTCTACTGATGGTTTTCTCACCAACATTTTTGCGCTAGCTGCAACACAATCTCACACTCAATTCGTGCAAATATGTACAAAAAGTATTTCAGCAGATTTCATGTGTTTTTGTGCATTTTTGTGTGCCTTAATTAGTGTGAAAAGACACACATTTTTGTGCGACTTCATTTGTAGGAAAAGACACACATATTTGTGCGACTTCTTTCATAGGGAAATACATTTTTGGGGGGCAAACTTTGGAACAATCTTTTGAAAGTTGTTAGAGTAATGCATGACGGGCAATGCCGTTCTACACTGCCTTTTTTTTGTGTCCCTCATTTATTTATATATATATTTTTTAAAAACGTGTTAACAACCCAATATTGTTAATCAACCAGGTTGTCACCAAAATGATAATAATAATAGTAGCCTTACATTGTTGTTTTTTTATTAACCTTTTCACGCATGAGTTCCAAATATATCTAACCGTCGTCCATGCATGAGTTTTTGTAATGTGCGTAATGTCAGAATGCACTCACTGTTCAAAATGTGATTGTTACGCAACAGGACAGTTAAACCACGCTCCCCTCAAACCAAGGCACGCTTCCTGATAATTATCTATAGGCTATGTTTTAACTCGTCAATTTCTAATTATTTTCTAACAACTTTTATTTTCTAAAAACAGTTTGAATTGAGGTGTGTTCTGCCTCATCATTAATTCACATAAGCAGTAGCCCATTTCACTGTTGCGGACAATTTATGTTTCAGGCTTTACTGAGCGGACAAACTTTTCTCTTCAACAAGAGCCCAAGCACTTCCTAATGTTTCCACAGATCAAGTATGAAGACATTGCTCATCTCTAGTCAGAACAGGCTTGCACAAACAATGCACATTTTCTGGCTGGTGCCCGCATTGCCTTCATGGTTGTTTTCCTTACAAATTGGACTGCGTTCCTATCAAAGTAAGTGGCTTATTTTTTGTATATCGTGTTGTCGTTTCTGCTGTAGCATACCGTATGAATGTATGGATCATAATGTATTTACTGTTTTATTCACATGTTTTCAAGAACTGGTGACAAATCTTTGGTACCTCAGGGTTGCCAGCTCAGACCCCCCTTTCCAGGGGATTTATTTTTATTTAGCGTATAAACTTCTCTTGTGTTTGCCCCCCAGTTATTGATAAATCCCCCATCATAGTAATATTTCCTGCATCATATCCCCCCACGATACCTTCCCCCATTTCTATCCCCCATGGACTTGAAAACCCCCCACAAATGAAATAAACCCCCCCCTCACAAACCCCCCTAAAATGGTTTCATCCCTGTTTAGCTTTCGCGCTACGGTTCGGCTAGGCAGTAGGCTTGTATTTGGTGTGATGATCTGTGAGGTGAAAACATTTTATTTGCTTTGTGATTTGTTAAAAACGGTAAACGACTTGTCAAGCGATGTGCTCCGGTTCTTGTATACACTGTAACTAGTACATCGATGATTTGTAATATGCTGAAAAGTGGATAAACTAAGTTCATATTTTTCAGGCAATGAGCGCAGCCATCTTTGACTGTTTATTTGCGTCTTATAGTGAATGGCATTCTGGGATTAGGGAGTTTTCACCAAATCAAGCATAAACAAACATGGCTGCCATCATAAAGAATTTGGCTGTTTTTAGCTTAGCTGACATACATTTCTTTTCTAAACAACATTACATTAGTCTCTTGTGCTCACCAAAGATGTGGTACATTGTGAACTAGTCTAGCTGTTAGGTCGCTAACTTATGTTTTGATTTTTTGTCAGTGCAACCTGTTATTTAGACTGGTTTATGGAATGAGTTTGGCTGTGGATGTGTTCCGTGTGATACTTGGATGATGAAGTTCGCATTTATCTTTTACAATAAAAGGTCAAATTGAGGAATAAAGTTTAAGACCTTTATTTTCCATCAGTACCAAAAAATATTTAGATGCTGTTCAGACAACAATGCTGTTTAGACGCGTTTGTTGCATCATAGGTTCTGCTGCTACTGTTCCAATCACATATTTGAGATCGTACGCTGCAGGGACCACTCAACAATGATCACAAATACGTGATCATACATGTCAAAGGGTTAATGCCAATACTGTTTTCTATGCTTGTTTTCACTTAATACTTTGGGATACTGGTGCACTTGTAGTCAGAAAGGCCCTTCATAATGCATTGCATATTTCGTGGAGCCTACATTACAATTTTCTTCATAATGCATTTAATACAAGGCACCACTTTTTCGTGTACATTACACCATTTCTTTCATAAGCATTTTATACAAGGCTATGTCAAATTTTATGAGGGTTGAGTCCCCTGTAGCTCAGTTGGTAGAGCATGGCGCTTGCAACGCCAGGATTGTGGGTTCGTTTCTCACGGGGGGCCAGTATAAAAATGTATGCACTCACTAACTGTAAGTCGCTCTGGATAAGAGCGTCTGCTAAATGACTAAAAATGAAAAAAATATGAAA